ATCGCAAATATTGAAAACTTGTGTTAAGTGATTTTTTTCAATTCATGCAGATCTCAAATATCGAGTTTTTTTATCAAATCCAAGACATCTTATGCGGTTTTCAGATAATGTGTGTGATGCATTTAATATTTTTGCGATCTCTTGCACAGTTGTGTGACTATTCGATTTAATTACGTCTAGAATTTTGTCATCATCAAATTCAGAAAGTCAGTCAGTATGTTGGTCATCTTCAGGAGAAAATTTTGAAGAATGAAATTTTTTAAAGCATCTCCAACACATGAGTTCTGTTCAGAAATTAACACCATAGTCCCAGCCTTTATGAAAATAAAAAAGTAAAATATGTCGAAGATGTGTTTTGCACCTCATGTTAAAATTGACCGTAAACTAACAGTTTTTAAAAGAATACATAGAATTTATTTCTATAGAAACCTAGAAGTGTCAGCTGTCAAATCTCAAAAGCAACAAATTATAAGGTTGACGGACGAATTACAAAACGAACATAACATGCAACCCTAAATTATCTTCTTGCCAACCCAATAGAAAAACTGAGAAGTGAAATTAATAAAATGTAGATAACCAGACGGATCCAAAACTAAATAGTCAAACTAAATCACAAGTATGTAGAAAAGTAGTTTTTCTTTCTTTTAATTAGTAATATTAACTACTTATTTCGCAAAATATAAAAATATACAATATTAGAAAAACACATAAATAAGACAATTCTAAAATTGTATTTTCAAATAAAAATGCTCATTAAATCTGAAATAGCTATAAACAGTCTAGAGAGGATTTTTGTAGAAGGATTTCTTCTTCTGAATTCATATGAATTTATATTGTAAATATTTCATATGAGAGTCATAACCTTCCTTAGTTGAGATTTTCAAAATTGGTTTATATTTGAATGCATGATAAATCTAGTGACATCTCTCTTTTCAGATGAAAAATGGCTTTTCCATACATTTGCATTTTTAATATAGTAGCTGGAAACTACTCCAGAAGAACGTAGATATTTAGTAGTTCCTCCTTAGCGCACGAAATAAATTGTAATGTTCATCAAATCACTCTCAGATAAACCCTAACTCACAGTTCAGCTAGCCGCTAAAGCTCACAGCTAAGTAGCTGAGTCACAACCGAACTCACTTAGCTCTCTGACCAGTATTTATACCCTGCAGTATCGGTTCTAGAAATTTCTGGAAGAATTGGTCGTAAAGCTTCAAAAATGTGTTTTGATGAATCTTCTAGAGAGTCGCATAGTTTTCAAATCACCAAATATCCCCGAGGCACTTTACAGAAGTTTAAATACAAGACAAGTTACCACGTATTAAATCAAATACAAAATAAACCACGGGCTGGCTGCATGGGCGTTTTCGTGGTTTTCCCCATGTGTAACGTGTATACGAGCCAGTTTCCCTTAGAAAGTCCTCCACGAAGGCATCCCTCCCCTTAGCCAGATAGCCCTAGTGTGCTTTGCCATAATTCATCAACATCAACAACAACAAAATAAACCATAAAAATACCATTTCTTCAAAGACAAAAAATAAATAAATAAATAAAATAATGCAAAATGCTACAAGAACAGAAAAATAAAAAAAAGGATTAAAATATTTAGAACAGTAATATATCAATTTCAAATACCATGTGTTTTCAATCTTTTCATTACTTTGTAAAATCCATTTAAATCTTTCCATTAATTTGTAAATCTCATGGCTGAAACCAAACCCCCGATGATCAATTATTCCTGTCTCATAAAAAACCTGCGATGCTACAGGATATTATAATCTTTATCTTTTTTACGAGCTAGTAATGCACGCTTAAAAATATTTGAGAGCATTTCATGAATTTTATGGTTTTCATATATTTTAATTAATATCTGTAATGGGAACATTTAAGTTTTCATTGCGGTTAGTAATTCTCTTAAATAAGATAATATAATTGACACAAATTAAGTCGAATTTATTGAATAAAACATGGTATTTTCAACGTTCAAATTTTTATATTAATCAAAGTTTTTGAATTATCCTGATGAATTACTGGCAGGTTTCTCTGTTTCATGAAAGCTTTTATTCGCATTTGTTAGAATTAACTTGAATGCTTTAATTTTCATGCCATTAAGAGATAAATGTCCTCATATCATGTAGATATATATCACCCTATCTGCAAATTGGCAGAATTCATAAATTTAAAAACTTTTACTAGATACTAAATTAGATCTGAACTACTAACAATTCTGGAAACAGCAATTAGGGAAATTTTTATTAAATTTCTTAATTTAATTAAAAAATTTTAGTTTTAGTTTTTCAATGATTTATACAGCGGACATTACACATATATATTTTACATTCTACCTATTCAGAAATTAAATCTCAGAGACATTTGTCAGTTTTATTTCAGTTTTATTGCATTTTTTATAAGTAGTTGAAGTAGTGATCATCAAGCAGTGATGTTAATGTACGTAATGTCAACAATTAGTGCTACTGAAATTATCAAAATTAAAACGTAATTTCTCAGTTGCAAAACAAATTTAAAATCCAACCTAAACTCTTAAATTAATAAAGAAACTTAAAAACCCAACTTAAAACATTTAATTATTTTTGAAGCAAAGGTAACTGGATTCACAAAAAGAAGAAAACTTCGCAATAAATTTCAGTTTATTGCTCACATTCTCTTTTATCTTTGTGATCTTTAACTACAGCTATAAAAATATGTGCATAAAGCGTTAGAGGCTGCTAACTAATTAAATAAAGATAGTCAAGCTGGAATTGAAGCGAATTGCCTGGAATTATTCGTTCATAATATTATTTCTATGCTATTATTGCCCTTAAATTCAGTTAATTTCCTAATAAAATTCCTACATAGGAACCTCTAGATTTATATTTAGTCACATATAATCAACAATGATGTCTAAAGTAATTTTAATTTGCTTATTAGTGCGTTTAATTAAAATCGTGTACCTACGATATGTTTTATCTTGTATTTGTGTTCTGTAGAATGCGAAAATGTAATTCACGTTCTCTGAAATTCGTAAAGCCCACCAGCGGCCGAGCGGTAAAGTCGCTAAACACTTTTAGTTCAGTTCGAGGTTCGAATCCCGCGAATGGACTGGCTGCATGGGTGTTTTCGTGGTTTTCTCCTTGTGTAACGTGTATACGAACCAGTTTCTCTTAGAAAGTCCTCCACAAAGGCATCCCTTCCCTTAGGCAGATAGCCCTCGAGGCTTTGCCATAAGCACACACACACACTGAACTTCGTAAAATTATTCTTTCTGTAGTAACGTTACATTACTGTGTAGTAAAATTACATTCAGTTCATTTAAATTTAAGTTTGATTTATAAATTCTGTCTCATCACTACTTAAAATCCTGAGTCTACTAATAATGAAGAATTAAAAAATTCCTCCTTTTAGTACCTACAGTATAGTTAAAACATCTAAATATTTTCGAACACTGACAGAATTCGAGAATTACTGAGAAATTCAAAAATTCCATCATTTCAAAGACTATTTTTTGGTCTGTTCGATAGTGTTTGTTTTCTTTGTTTGATAGTGTTTGTCTTTACAAACATCTTGCGATGATTAGCCTGGCTGTTAAATCTGAGAGAAAAATTCCACACTAATCAAGAAAAACACTTAACTGAATTTTGAAAAAATTTCTATGCAATATTGTATTGTCATTTCAAATGTGTGCATGTGAAAACATTCATAAAGACCGAGTCTGTAGAAGAAAGTTAAAACTTAATTATTTGATCAAACTTTTTTAATAAAGATAGAGAAGAAAGTTAAATAATAACGTGTTAAAAGAAGGAAAATCTATTATATATTTTCACATATATTTATCTGTTAATTTTCGACGTTCATTTTAATTTTCAAAGTAAAAAAGCACGGAATTTCATATAGCTGTTCCTTTTTTGAGCTTTTATTGTAATATATATCTCTTATTTTACTTGCTGCAGTATACCTTTAAAAATTTTATTGTTCTGAGTATCAAATGACTCTAGGATTGATTAGTAAATGCATGAGACTGAGTGTTAAATGACACAGTAGAATTTTTATTATTGTTCATAATTTTTAATGCATACTTCTTAACAACTATAAATATGTCTTAAAATATTCCCAAATTACATACAAGTTATATTCTCCTTGCTGCTACATATTTGTAACGCTTTCACTTAAAATGGAATCGCTAGTCGAAATCTAACGTCGCTAATAGTAAATTCTGATGTCCAATATTTACTTCGAAGCAAGTTCCTTATCGGATACCGGCCGCTGCATGAGTGGCGATAGGCCATTAATACTTCAATCTAAATGATCGCTTCAATTACTGCTTGGTTTTCCTAGATAAAAGAGATGATTTGTATATCTGTAAACGGGGGAAGTTCGCTGAAAGCTGTACAAAGTACATTGCATTCCTTTGCAAATCTCTTTGCTAGCTGTATTGACCCTTATTGACGGCCAATATTTCATTACAATGATCAATATGAAAAATTCCCAAATGAGAAGAATAAATTAATTCTTCTTTCGTTATAGTAACCACTGGTTACAACATCTTTGTTCTATAGGATAAGAGACAGTGTAGTGTTAACATCCACTAATCATGTTTTATATCTATGAATAATTTTAAAATATCTCATAGTGTAGTATATTACATTTGTTCAATTTACATAAAATGTGAATTTGAAGCATTATGCTTAAAACATCATATTATACCTTGTATTATACATGGTATTGTCTATACGCCAAAGAAAACGTACATTACATATTACATACGTACATTACATACGTACATTAACGTACATTACAGCTCTTACTTATTTCAAACTATTCCATTTTACGCCCTGCATTATTTTAAAATAAACACCAGTGAAATATTTTCAAGGAAATAAATAGAGCATGTAAGCGTACAACTTCTTTCCTTAAAAAAATTACCTTTTTAGGATTATCAGTTATATTTAATTGAATAATGTATTTAATTTCTTGTAACACTAATTTTTAAATTTTACCAACAGATCCTTTCCAAAAATGGCTTTAGCCAAACCACTGATTGCGGGTATCATCTTGGCTGTCCTTCTGGAAAGTCAAGTATTTTGTGATGGTTCCTCCTCCTCCTCTTCAAGTAAGCTGAATTTTTGCATTAATTTAGCATTAATTTTGCATTAACTACTGTTGTGCATGTGTAACAAAAACTAATGTGCATTTGTAAAGAAGTATCTGTAAAACCTGGCACTTCACTACAGATGCTTCCAAAGAGTGTTTACGCTTCTCAACGAGAAATTGCATTTTTAAAAAATACTTTTGAGGAATGATTTAAACCCAATTATGAGATATATATATCACAAATTCATTATTCATCAAGTTTTGAGCTGAATACTAAGGATTTCTTTCATCAATTGAATTAATTATTTCTGTATGTCATACTGATCTATTTCATAAAGTAAATACGCTTCTCCTTCCTAATACTTATAGATAGAAAATTACTTAATTTTAAGTATGATGAATTACTGCACTTTGTATTTTGTGTGAGTCCTACCGTTAAAAAGAATAACACTCGTAACTGAATAAACTTGAGTAAATATCTAATACTTATTCTGACTATTGTTTAACATGGACCAAGAAAATTTATATACTTTACCTTCACAAGAGCGAAATAAAACCTAGCATTCGTCTCATATTCTTAGGTATCATAAACTAACTAGACGTTAGAAGACTGGATAGGGAATTATCCCTACTTACGACAACGTTCAGAGAAGGGCGTAAAGAACCATTTATTAGCTCGATTTAAAATTTATAGATGGCACCGACTCGTGCTTATAAAAGCCGACATTTATGGCTTAACTCAGGTAACGAATAACTTAAAATCAAATGGAGTTAAGTTTAGCCTAACGGCTTCACAGGTTACTCAACCCTTAGGCTGGCTCTGACTCATAAACGTCGGTGTAAACAAGCCTAATCAACGCTCAACGCCACAGAAATCTGATCGCTAGTAAATCAAAGATAGCAACATGACCTTCAGGTAGGAAGAACACGCTCTAAATTCAAGTTCCCAAACCTTCCCGTAAATGCTAATTTCTTTCTATCTCATTTGAATACACGCGCGCTAATTTAAATTCTGGCAAGAAAGCGTCAGTTGAAAGCAAGAGCGATAGGAAAGGTTGCTTCAAAATAAAATTAACTGTTAAGTAAATTAAATAATTCCCCATAGTCTTATACTTCGAAGAATATATCGTTAAATTTAAGTAGGTGAAAAATATATTAAAAAATTAAATTTTTTTTAAATCATAAGAATTTGCAGTCAAAGCTTAGTATGCGAATTTCAGTTTAAGACCTGCAAAAATTTTAAGCTAATCCAATATCATAAGCTTAGTAATTTAAGAATCAATTACCCCACAAATTAAAAATTTAGAAATAAAATCTTATTTTCCATACCGAGCTGCTCATGAGAACAAGTCTAAATGGTGTGGTGGTGTGGTGTATTTAATTATGGCAAAGCACACTAGGGCTATCTGCCTAAAGGGAGGGATGCCTTTCGTGTAGGACTTTCTAAGGAAAACTGGCTCATATACACGTTACACATGGGGGAAAACCACGAAAGCATCCATGCAGCCAGCCCGTTTGCGAGATTAGAGCCTCGGACCGAACTACCAGTGTTCAGCGACTTTACCGCTCGGCCGCTGGTGGGCCCAAGTCTAAATGGTAAGGGGGAAAAAACCTGCAATTGAGCTACATATTTTATTGTAAATTTATGCTACGTTGAGATTTGAAGTCTTATTTTGAAAAACTAAAAGAAGACTTATTCATTTAAGAAATAGTTATTGATTTATTTTATTGGATGGCTTGTACACGAGACTTGCAACAGCTATTTTTATCATGTGAAAATATTTTCTATTTTACCAGGATGCAAATTTTATCAATTTAAGCTAATAAGCACTTTGAAAATGTTTCTATCGAAGTGTTTAACAATTTTTTTTCCAATCTTTTCTCTTGTTCTTTTCAATTCGGGACAAAAATAAAAATAACCTCACGCATATAAATTGAAATATAGTATACGCGACGTTATGAAGCGATACACATTCATTTTCACATATAACTGATTTATTAATTCATTTCTAAATAATTTATGTCACAATATAAAGCTTCTTTTAATAAAACTTTCAAAAGAATTTTAACAAGATGTTAACTGTTGTCCATAAAAATTAGTTTCACTTTAGAAATTAGATCTTCCTTTCTTTACACTTTGTGCTGTTACTAATGCTTGGTTGAGCTTCGAAATATTTTCTATTTATTATGGGCCGTAAAAAGAAACATATTAAATATCCCGTTTTTTTACGCACTAAATATCAATATCATAGAAAATGTATAAGACAACAGTTAATATTTGTTCTCTAAACTTCCAACCTCTCATTTCCATTCACAGATCAGTTGGTGGATTAAATGACTCAAATGTTTTAAACATGTCTTTAAAAAGAATAGATTAATAGGAAAATAAATTAGGCATTAATCATGCGCTGAAATCTTTGAAATCTGTATAAACAGATTAACTCGAAGTCAGAATGTGCTTAATTATATGCAACAAAACGAATTAATGCTCAATGCTGATAAAAACTCCTGCACTGTGTTAAAAAGTAAAAAGATAATTAAATGCATCAGGGATTTTTAACTAGCTATTAATTCCCCAAGCGGAGTTTCCTAATACCATAGAAACAAGTTAGTTCCGTATTTCTAGCAAACTGACGCATTCGCATAAGAATTATCATATCGCATTAAGCATACCTAATAGTGATGCATGAAGAAGCCAGTATATTTATGCATGAAGTCGACAAAAGCGTAACCTCTGAAGCAGGCATGCTCATTCTGTATAAAAATATTATAAAAAATATAGCACGTATAGGTATTCATTTCCATATGCTAAGAAGAATATCGGAAATGTTTTCCTCGTGAAAGTGGGTGTTTTCTCGCTCCCTCTGTGTCTACATTAAATGCATATATATATATATATATATATATATATATATAATTTAAAGTAAAGTAGAAAGAACAAACGATAAAAGACCTATGTGGTCAAAACTTTTGCGCATTGTGCTGCAAAATTTAGGAAATTAGAAGATAAATTTTAGTACGCACGCTAAAAAGTTGCTAAAAAACTGTGGCTCAGCAAAAACTTCAACATAAGCAAATTTAGTTGCAATGAATTGTGTAAAAAGAGAAATATACAACATTTGAATATTTACAAGTAAAAATTAACAAAAATAGTAAGCTATATGTTAAACTAATTAAGTATATTTAAAACATAGTAAAAGTACTATTCATCAATATATATATTGGTGCATGCGTACGGGTTCGTTTGAATTGAATGCACAAGTCCGATGAAAAATGAACAAAATTTATTATTACTACAACAAAAATGCTTAAATTTCCTGAGATATTCGTGCAGTATTACAATAGCTCACAGTAGTTATCTTTTAACTACTGAAACGTTCGAAAGAACTTAATTCAAAACATCTAGAGAAAGCTAATCCGCGAATTCGCTACAATCAACAAGAGCAGTTTCCTAAACAAACTCGCCCACCAGCGGCCGGGCGGTAAAGACGCTGAACAGTGGTAGTTCGGTCCGAGGTTCGAATCCCGCGAACGGGCTGGCTGCATGGGCGTTTTCGTGGTTTTCCCCATGTGTAACGTGTATACGAGCCAGTTTCTCTTAGAAAGTCCTCCACGAAAGGCATCCCTCCCCTTAGGCAGATAGCCCTAGTGTGCTTTGCCATAATTAAATACACCACCACCTAAACAAACTCTTAAAACAACAACAAATTAAATAACAACTAACATTAACTATTTAAATACTAAATCCGTAACACTATATATATATGTATATATATGTAATAATAAAATTCCATAGTCAAGAATACACTTAAATTTCTAACTGTATGTTCTTTTCATTTTTAATGGCGACGTTCTCTTATTTGAAAGTACGTGGAATTAAATCCACAGCCCCGTAGTCAAGTTGTTTTTCCCGCCTTTTGTACACGTATAATTATAGAATGTTCTTGAAATATTTAAAGCGAAATGGATTGGCTGACGTCATTTCTTGGAAGCTTCGCCTTTCCAGAGGCTATACAAGGACTCGCAAAAGGAATATCGGGAGCTTTTTCTTAAATGTCACGGTGCAGTAAACTTCATACAAAATTTTATTATTAGTTCTTTTTTATTTACTCCGGATATCTGATTTTATAACTGCTATTTCTCCTGACCAATAATAAATGGATCCTGTTTTTTAAATTTATCATCTGATAATTAAGCTACGACTACATTTGATTCTTCAAAATCTATTATTCCTTACAAAAAGCTGGTAAATCATATATATATATATATATATATATATATAGATAATCGCATTTAATGTTATATTCTTAACGCTTTGTTTAACTATCAGTAAAATACATTAATTTAAAAGAGATAGCCTTAGACCAAAAAAAAAGTAGGAAAACCTATTCAATGTTGTTTATGTGTTTAAAAGTATCAGAAACGTGAAATAATTTCCTTATGATATCTTTAAAAGTTGATATTGAAACCATTTCTTAATATGAAATTTCTTTAATTACTTATTCGTTTTACTGACAGCTACTGAAACTCTGAAAGGTTTTTTAGTTTCCTGCCGTAAGCTAAACATTTTTTATTATTTACTATAATAGTTTAAATTGGTATTTTTGGTGTAAAGAACGTCTTACCAGAATCTAAAAGTATATAATTTTTTACCACTTATGTTAAGCTACACTGCATATATTTATCATCCATGTGACTCTGTGTACAACATGCACTGCCACTGCACGAAAAATAAGATTTTTTATTTACACTCTATTGCACTTTTTAAGAGCCAATTCTCAAATTATTATCATTCCGTAAAGTGTACGAATTTATATTTAACTTTCAAACTTAATCCATCTATAGTAATTTGATGGCTTAGATACAATAAATACAATCCACTTAGTAAGAATGAACTATTATTTTACGTTTTATTTAATGCAATTTAAAATACACTAAGTACAGTTCCAACTCATAATTTTGGTGACTATTTCTACAATTATTGTAATTAATAAAAGATGTTTCTAACATCATATACTA